AATTAAATATTTGATTTTAGATATTCATCTCTGGACATGTTACGGCTAGAGCTACAAGCGCGCGTTTTGATATGTTTAGTTCCGTATATTAAAAACTCTGATTTCTATAAAATAAAAACAATCATGCTGCACTCTTCTTTTTTTTTTTTTCGACCGTTGTTTTACTTGGCGTTTTGAGCACGAGGTTTGATACTATGCAGTGCAGTCCGTGTTGTCATTCTTTTAATATTTTTAATATTTATTACGCAATTTTTACGGGTCATATTGCGGTGTTTGCTTCCACTAGAAGTTGATTAAAGTAGAAGTTTGGGCTAGTTGGTATTTCATGATTAAAAAAATTCTGTACTTCTTTTTCTTTTTTTCTTTTTTTTTTTATCGTCGCACGTTGTTTGACGTAGCTTTTCGATCCAGCGAGCACAAGGTTGGATCGCCGTTGGGTTGGATACTACAAAAGCGCAGACCTCGTGTCGTCCTTCTTTTCGTATTTTGTTTTTATTTATTACATAAGTTATGCAGGCCATATTGTTGTTTGCTTGTGCTACAAGCACGCTTAGGGCAAAAATTATGGCGGTAAGATTAGACCTCCTTGCAATGATTTAGCCATTTCTTTTTTAATTCGGGGTATTTGTAGGTACTGATTCAGCACGTAGGTAGTTTTCTAGTAATCGTCTAGTTTTTGGCATATGTATCACAAACCATCACATGGCTCGTGCCCCCCCCCCCCTCCCCCCCTGGTAAAATCCGGGGGGTGGGGGGGCAGACCGGGTCCGAGCCATGATCCTTACCGAGACGCTGTTTACGTGCCATGTAACGAGCTTCTGGTAGCGGCATGTAAACAAAATAACGCGCACGTTGCCTTTATTGTCAAGATACATGGGAAATGGAATTCCAGCGTGTTTTCGTTAGCTTCAATCTCCAGTTCTGGCACAAAAAAAAATAAATAAATAACGCGCAGCACCCCCCCCCCCCCCCCTCTCCTTGGAAAATGGAAAGTCTACGCCGCTATGTAGCTGGCATTTTGTGATGTAACTTATTGTTATTCGAAGAGACAATAAGATCTAAAAAATAACTCTGGTTTATTTATAAATTCTAACCTTGTTCCAGCCTCGTTTCTTCGCTGCCGGCCTAAGCAGCTCGGTCGTCCTTTTCTGCGACCAAACCGGCCCGGAAAGGGCGGAAAAGCGAAAATGAGAAGCAGCAATAAACAAAACCATGTTTCACAGTTGAAATGGAAGGACATCGCGACGGGTTTGGACAAAAGACGGACAAAGTTCTAAATTGCCCACCCTCGCTGCGTACAACCGAAAAAAAAAAAAAAAATATATATATATATATATATATATATATATATATATATATATATAATATATATATATATCAACGACCTCGTTGATATATATATAAAACAATATCGCCATCTTTTGCGGTGGTCCGCGAGAAAGTGTTCAGGAAAAGCACCCCTCAGGGGCACTTGTACGCACAGATGGTTTACGCAGGCGAGGGTGTGCATTTTGTAGGCGCGTCTGTGTGCGTGTGTGCGGCTTTGATGGGGATAAACGATGATATGATGACGGCGCCGCCGGGGACGAAAAGGAACGCCGCGCCGCTAATCCTCCGGAAGAGAATTCACTGTACACACACCGAATCGTACAAGAACATACACACTCACATCCCCCACTGTGGTTCCTCTCCCAACCCCTCGAACACGCTTCCAAAAAACATGTTGCTAAAAAAAAAAAATTAATGGCCGGTTTTACCCGCTTTGGTCTGCCTTGTAGACTTGAATGCAAGGCCCGTGTGCGGAATGATCCCGGAATCATTCCAACTCCGGAGTGACAACTCCGCAACACAGGTATGCAAACGATAGCAAACGTCAGGTACACAACCCGGAGAAACCGAAACCGAAACTACCTGTTTTTAGTCTCCTGCTCCCAGAGTGCATAGGGGTGCAGCTATTTGCGTTTGCGTTTGCGGCCAGGTTTTTAGGGCGATAGCAGAGGAGCGGGCACTGCGCGTGCGCAGAAACCGGATTTGCGTGAGGTCAAGGAGGTTAGAAGAGGTGAAGCATCTACGCGTGCGCCGTAGGGAGGCTCTAGTGAGGGTGGGTGCAACTCAAAACCTGGAGAGCGTTCGCAATTTAAAGGGGCCCTGCAATCATATTTAAGCGTCCACCTTTTTTGCGGTTTCCACGTCTCTTGGGGTTCAGGCAATCCAGCGGGCACGGAGAGAGTAACTAAATATCAGTGCGTCATATTTTAACCGGACGACGCGGAAACCTCCTCCACCGACGAGGGCGACCCGCGGTACCGAAAGCGCGCAAAATGTGACGTCTTTGGTCCTAGGCTTACTACTGGTCAGAGCTGCTAAAAGCTTCATTTTAGTCGAAATACAAAATATAAGTGGCGCGAATCGTTTCAATTTTTTATAAAAGTTGTTTTTGTTCAGTATTTTAGATCAAAAAAAGAAACGAATGCAGTTCATAAAGTACGGAAACAAGAAATGACCCGTCGGCATACCCGCCACCAAGCGGTGGAAAAGGCGGCGCATACTAGAAAGGAGTAGTGGGATAAGGCGCCGACACGGAAAGGTCACGGATGTACGCGGCGGCGCTGCGGTCATTTGGGCAGGAGGATCCGAGCGGCTCCGAGCGTTCCGAAGGCCTTCGGCGAGAAGCTTTGTCTTGCGGTTTGGCCGTTTCGCGGTATGGCAGCGCAAAGTAGCTCCCATTCTAAACTGATCTTTACTCCGTGTTTGCTGTCGTTTGTGGCCAATGAAGTGTCATGCCGAATTAGTATTTAATCGCGCAGCAAATGCAATGAGGGCCGCTCTGGCCGCCCGCTGCATACACCCTATCCAGAACATGCTTCAATGGCGCCCTCTCGCGCTGTCGACTCGGAGTGCGGCAGCCGTGAGCGCTCGATAAGCTCACTACCCCTCTTCTAGTTCACGGCCACTCTCAAGCAACCAAAAACGTCATGAGGGAAGTTATTTTTTGCTTGTTTTTGTAATTTTAATTTGCCTATAACTTTTAAAATAAAGGGAATTTCGAGAAAAGAAAAGTTTCACTAAGTTACTACGTTCAGTGCGCTCAGGTTCGGTGCAAATTAAAAATTAGTAAAAAAGTCATTGCAGGGCCCCTTTAATGGCGGCGCCTGAAGGAGAGGATTCGGGAAAGGATATGCGCCAATGTTGCCTGCACAAGAGCAGACGCCCGCTCTGTTGCAACTCTGTTGCGTCATGCGCCTTTCCTCCTCTCGCCTCCCATTGCAAGCAACGAACGCCTTGGCGCAGCCTCTCTCGCTTCCTCTTGCTCCGAGATTTGCAAACGTCGAGAGAAGAAAGCAGGGTTGCCAGACAAGCAGCAACGTCCAAGATGGCGGAATTTACCATTTTTCGCGTTAAAAAAATACTTAACCTATCGCAAAAAACTGGTGGCTATGGGAAAGTAATCATTTATACCTTCTGTAAATTATTCAAGCACCTTACTGGGTTCTTATGATCTGAGTTAGGAAATAAAACGACCCTTTGCCCCATAGACTCCCAGCAAAATTTAGCAATTAAATGGCGTCCATGTCCCGTGACCCCCGATATAGCAGATGCACCCACCCTCACTTGAGCCTCCCTAGTGCGCCGCATCGACAGCAGCGCCACCGCAGTTGCTAGATGTTAGAGCTGCGTGACTCACTGCATCCCGCTGGCGGTCATCTAATTTTTACCTGTTGTTACCAAGAAAAACGATTTCGGCGGTGCGAACATGCTCGACGGCAAAGAGTCCACAATGACCGCCGATGTGCCGTCAGCTCGAGCCATGTATATTAGAGTTATAGCTTCCACTGTCGCGTCAGGTTAGCTCGGAACAAAGCATTGCTCAAACCCTAACAAATGTGACTAAATCTGCTGGATCGGTTGCCCGAAAGTTGTCGACATGAAGAAAACGGTGATGGCCCGACGTATGAGTAAGAGCCGGCACGAATGTCACATTACTTCCGAACTCGCTCGTAAGTCAGCGGCGGCCCAAACAACAAGCCCAATCAAGGTGCGACAAAGCCCCGCATACGAGCAAGCTCTACCGCTTGCCTAACAAACGGGCAAATCACAAGGTACGGGCCTACTTACGATACGAACTGAACAAGCAAAGACCACGTAACATAGTCACGTCCATGACGCGTCAGGGACAAGTCGTCCGATCTAGTCTATATACTCCGTCTCACTGTAAGTTGGAAAACGGCGAAGGCTATGGTCGCAGTGAGCCAATCAGCTTGTCGGAGGTAGGCACGCGACTATATCGGTATATACGCGCATTGCTGTCGAAGCCGAGGGTGGGAGAGTGGAAAGCGGCTAGTACGAAGTTTTGAGCGATAAACCTATCGTCTCTAAAATAATAATAATAAAAAAAAAAAAAGACGACGTTTAGGGCACAAACATGAGAATTCGGGTAGGAGTGTTGAGTTCCTCCTGCTTTTCTTCTCCAGCAGCTTAGGTTACGCCCTCGCACCCTGCACTTTTAGAAAAGGCTGTAACGTGCTTCCCCTCCGTCGCTCTGATTGGCCCGTTCGCTCGTGGCCAAGTTGCACCAAAACGTCTTGTTTCCTGACGCCATTCGGACACGAAAAGAATAGTTATAATGAGATCTGGTTACCGCTTAAACCTTCTACTGCGGCCCTCGTTGGCCTATAATGGCGCAGCAGCTGCAACCCAAAGGTTCCATTGCGCTCATTCATTTTCCCGATTATGACCCTCCATACAAGTCCTCTTTGGGCTGCCGAAACGCAGCCACGCAGCGTGCGCTGTCGCGTTGTCATGTCCACCGGACCCAGACTAAGTTATTGTGCGTGCTCGAGGAACACAGCAATGACCAGGTGGTAGGTGTCAGACCTACACAGATGCGGCAAGCCTAATGAATTCTTCCCGAGACCGCGTCATTTCTTTGGACATGTAGATCCGCATTGGTTTTGGGGCAGTTCATAAAAGGCACGCGGGTGTACAGAGTGTCTTGAAAGATGGAGGTGTTTGTTTGCTGGTTCGCGTTTGTCTGGTTCACCGTAAGAGTGAGCGGTCAATATAAGTTCGTTTTCGACGCAGGAGAGAGTCCGACTGAAAGCACGTTACAGTTCAATCTGCCTGGTAAGGCTGATTTTGTATGACGTAATATGTTTACCCTTGAAGGGGTCATGAAACGATATAGGGTTCGAATGTTCATGACTCTGCAGAGGCGTACTAGTCCTGGCCCAAGTATACTCGCATATACCGCAATGATTCAGAACCTTTTTTTGTCGCGGTGAAATTTCGAGGATAAAAGGGGACTATTTCTTGCAGTCCTGCTTTTGCAAAGCTCGATGGCGTAATTGTGGGGTCGAAACCACCCGCCTGACGACAGTCCATAGCGGTTCATGGATTGAACACGAGAACTGTGTGAGCACTCGACTGTCGCTCGTAACGTTCAGTGCCTCGGCGGACACTCGGGTAGTGACTCGTGTCCAGTCACTGCGGTGGTGAAAATAGCCGAACTCTAACAAAACCTTGAGCTCAGGTCGAGTTTTATACTTTGCCTTACCCCAGCGCGTGGCTATGATTAACGTCGGTGTCATAGGATAGGTACCAGGCCACATGGCCGCTTGTTCTGGCTCCGAGTTGAGGGGATGAGCTATGCTCATATTTATACAATTTTTTTGGCCACTGCCATTTCCTTGAAGGAAAAACTAAGGCAAGTTTATTCAGTTATTAAAGTTTGGGAGTGATTCAAATTAGTATTTAGCGAAAGCAAAACACACATAGTGAGTGCAGCGGACTTGTTCTTGCAGACTGTGCGGTATTTCGAAGCGCACGTGCTATGTGAGAATTGGGAGGATGTAAAAACCACAACCCGCCTGTTATAGCCAAGTTTGATAAAGGGTGTACCTAATGTTATATCAAAATAACAAAAGATCATAGCCCCGCCAACGTATTGAAATATTTCAAAAGATCAAGAGAGCAAGCACATTATCGTCCTTGTCGCTTACTTCAACCATGTCTCGAATAAAATATTTCTTCATACGACAGTTTTTACTTTCCTGGCGATATCTAAAGCATAAATATTAGGAAATACTTGTATTTTAGTGGTATTCAAAATGAAACAATCCTTATTCGAAAAGAAAGCGGAACAGTGCCAGATATGCGAGTACCACATCAGAGAAGAACTTCGCTTTCGGTAGAAATGAAAGAACGGCATGATATTATTATTTATGTTGCTCAAGTATTACGAACGGAAATATGGGGGAGGGGGGGGGGGGGGGTGTTCTTGCAGCTGCGGGATAGTCGAGTATTTGAGAGCACTAATATTAACCCCGAGAAGATGGAGTGGCGCCACCTGGCGGTTCCTAGCCCTGACGCAGGTATGGGCAAAATACATGCAAATATGTATCGAAATACAAATACATAATACTTCGTCAAAAATGTATTTAATTACAAATCTAATTACATTTCCAAAAAAGCATTTAAATACAAGATACAAATACAACGAAATGTATTTGGTCTCCTCCTGATACTTTTCCAAATACATTCCTCAAAATTTGCGTCAGTGACTTCAGGGCACCTGCAACGGGTTTCTGAGTATCTCATTCTAAATTTGCACCGCACATTCGGGAGTTAGTGTGCGAGTCTCTAGTAACGTAATAGAAATATAATCACAAAAAAATGTACTGAGCTTAGTCTTAATAGGTGAAAAAAGTGCACAGCTTCAAGCAGCTTTTTTTGTCTTACATTTTGGTATAGACCAACAAAGAACCGAGACGACCAAGACGCGCAGCACTAGCTAGAGGATTTTTTATTGTTGCAACTCGCACCAAATACGAAAATCTGGACGACCCGCCCATTTAGAATGTTCCAGGCAAAAATAGGGATGGAAATCAGGCTGAAAAACATCACGAGTTGTCACAGGCACTTATTTAGGCAGTCTGCCTGTGAACGTCGATTTCGTCACTATTCTTGCCCTGGACTAGCACCGTAATCACAAAGTCACTAAAAGCTTGTGCTTGATTGAGAGACACTGCATTCGGTGCAGAACGTAGTTTTCTTCCTGCTCCTACAGTGACAATAAATTTGAGGGATGTATTTTCGCCCACAAAATTGTATTTAATTACAATGGTTTTTGAAACACCCACGTTTTAGTATTTAAATACACACGTCAAATACATGGCCCAATTTGTAATTAAATACAAATTAAAAATACACAAAGTATTTGAAATACGTATTTCAAATACTTGTAATTGAAATACTGCCCATCCCTGTCCTGACGTATACCAAGTTTCATGTGACCGCTTTCGAGCTTCGTTGGTACCACGTAGGTTGCGGTTATCGTTACTAATTCATATTTGATTGGTCAATTTGAACCAGAGTTTGAGGTTGCGTGGGACCTAATTCTCCAGTTTCGAGTCACGATCAAATCGGTCGTCGTCAGTGTTAGGAAGTTTTTTCAATATATTGTACTTAAAGCACTACTTCAAATAGGTTCAGAAAACTTGTACTTTACTTGAAGTACAAACTTTGAGTATGTACTTGTACGTTATTCAAAAGTATTTTTTTTTTTTTCTGGTGCCTTCCGAAGGAGGTACGACAACCGACTTCAAAGTATATTTCCCAAATTTGGTCTTACGTTCAGATCCGCAACGGCGCATTGTGGTCGTGAGGCGTCGCAAGAGGCTTAGAAACCGGTTTTGTCTCAGTCTGTTGTACTCGGTTGAAAGTGTGTGAACGTGCCTTAAAGGAGCGATGCAACAATTTTTGTACTTTGCGCAAATAGCGTTTAAAACGGATCCCTAACGTTAATGACCTATGAAACACGCGTTCGTTTTTCACCCCACGCAATAGAAGTCCCAGAAAAAAAAAATTAAAGAAAAACGAGCAGCGTTCACCCCCTCAACTCGCAGCCAGAACAAGTGGCCACGTGATCTGGAGCCGATTATATGCCGCCAATGTTGATCATAGCCACGCGCTGGGGTTGGCAAAGCGCAGGACACGCGCTGAGCTCCAGACATTGTTATGGCTCGGCTGTTGTCGTCGTTGCAGCGATTGGACACGGGTCACTACCCGAATGCTTCTCGAGCTAGCAATTATCACGAGCCCAAGTCGAGTGCCCACGCAATGCTCGGGTCCAATCTATGAACCGCATTCAAATATCGTCACTTGGGTGTTCTGCGATCCCCACGTTACGTCATCAAATTTTGCAAAGGAGAGATTGAATGAAAATGAGCGCTTTTGTTCCTTGAAATTACACCGCAACAAAGGAGTTTCTTGGCCAGAAAAATATTCCAACTGAATATCGTTGCACAGCTCCTTTAAAGGGATACAACGAAATTTTGGCTCTTATATTTTTAGCTATATACGTGTTCAAACTTCAAAGGAGCAGTATATCACATCAGATACATCAATATCTTCTGAAAGGGCAACTCCGGCCAAAACTCAAAATGAAATAAATTACTGGTATCGCTGTAGTGACACAAAATACGACTCCGGCCAAAATATTACGTCCGTAGGACGCCGCATTCTCAACTAATGCCGATAACAAAAATGCGACCCGCCGCGGCCCGCCGCTCCTTAGCGGGCATCCAGCGGGTTTCCGATCGCTAAAGCAACATTGGGCCGTGACGTCCGTATCGTTATCTTTTTTTCCTCCGGTGCGGGCGTTGCCTGGAGTGCGCTTCTTTGAGCCGCTACCACCGCTACTTCGGCTTGTGATTGGCGTGTTTCGCCGTTGCTTTTACCTGTAGCCCGTGTAGCTTTTGTATAGCCTTTTGTTTATTTGCTTGTGAGGACTTTAAGACTCGTTTTAGCGAGCAACTCGGTACGCCAAAGACTGCCCAGCTGTTCCTCGAAAGATGCCGAGTGCAACTTGTAGCGCTGTGGGCTGCTCAAACAACCCTCTGCGCAACACGGAGGTGCTTTTTCACAAGTGTCCAACGGACCGGAAATTGGAGAAAGTGTGGGTGAACGCTGTTCGACGAGTGGACTTTGGACTTCGGCTTTTGCGCACCCGAGGAAAAAAGAATGAAAAGCAGTCGTGTTCAGCCCAGCACACGTGTGTTCGGGCGCCGCGGCCCGCGCCGGAGCCTAAAACCTTCGTGTCTGGGACTGACCCGCAGCGCGAAAGCGAGAGGGCCCCCAGTACTGTACGTCACTGGCAGCGCGGCATAAAGCAACGCCGCTCCATCCACGGAGCCCGGATGACAATTTAGGCCTAGCGACGAGTACGGAAGACCACACACACGGCGACAGCCGCCGAGTACGGCACGGAACGAGTTTACTTGTTTTCCAGTCGCTAGCTTTTGGGTATACAAGCGACGAGTACGGCATAGCGCGCGCACGGCGGTGGCCGCCGAGTACGGCACCGTACGAGTTCACGGGTTTTCCAGTCGCTAGCTTTTGGTTATACGCACTAACTTTTGCTACATATGGTCGATAACTACCACGTATACAGAATTAAAACAAAATCAGCTTACCTCCTATCTTTAGGCGGCTAGCGCAACACAGGTAGGTGGCGCTCGGCCTGCGTACTCGTTGAACGAGAACGATCGTGACGTCACGTTCACATAGCGGCTGATTTCCAGTGTTGCCGGGGCCTCGAGCGGCTCGTTTCGGTTTTGTTGGCCGCGCCCCGAACAAAACTTTCAGGCGTCGATATCTTTAAAACTACGCACAATAACGAGAAAAAAATTACACCTTGCAAGTCAGGGACGCTGACTGCACTAAAAACAGTCATAATCCCAAAATCGAAAGTATGGACCGGAGTTGCCCTTTAAGAAAAACACGGAAAGAAATTTTAAAACAAATTAAACGATTCCCAAAGAGCACCTGGTGGAAGTCGCTAACGCTTCGTTTGTAATGCCCGTCTAGGAAGCTTTACAGGTACGGGCGATAACTGTCTCGCCACGTTTGCAAGTCCGGCTTCAGGGCGCTGCCATTTTGCTCGCTGGGGTGCGCTTAGACGCGTCCTAATCCGATCACGAAGCCTTGCTAAGGCGTATTACGGCCGCGCCCGAGCGCACCCCACTGGGCAAGATGGCGGCGCCCTGAGACCGGACTTGCAAACGTGTGGAGCCTGACCTCATCCTAACAGCTTTGCGGCCAGCACAAGAGAAGAGGGGAGGGAGGAACTCCCCACTCAACGGGACTCTCTTGTGTGTCCCAGGCGGCAGCTTTGCGGTTAGTTGCAATGGCCCCATCGCTGGCGTGCTTCGACCACTTTGGTGGCTGGAACAGCTAGGGCAACCTAACGATGTCAACCTCGCTGCAGCTTTGCTTATCCCGAGACCGGATGTGACGTGCTCTCCGCTGGCTGCTCTCCCAGCGCTTGCAAGAGTGGGCCGCTTATTACGGAAAATAGAGCCATCAGGCTCAAAATACAAACGTGCAGTTGTCATTTACGGGTAATCAGCCTATTTCTGAACACGATGGGTATATTTCAAATTTTGTTGAAGTGTCCCTTCAAGGGAGGCCACGACGGGGCACAGATTGAATACGAGTGATGCATTAGTAATTGGCGGGGACTCAAATTCTTGTTGACCGGGCACGAGACTTACTTGGCCAAACGCTGAGACAACACCTGTATTCAATCTGCCTTATGGTGGCCTTCCTTAGGTGACCCAACAAATTCAGCGTCACAGCCTGGTTATCTAAAAGGCGTTGGTAGTGGCCAGGTCACACAAGAGAGAAGGGCCTCTTTTGTAACTCGGCTGCTTTTAGAGCGCAGCTCTTAGGGGCTCGTTTCCGGCTTGAGCGGCGTCAGCGTCGCCGTCGTCGTCGCCGTCCGCAACCGCGAGGTCACGTGACTTCCTTAGGTCACGTGACCCCCAGAAGTCACGTGACCCCCCTAAGGTCACGTGACCCACTGAAGTCACGTGATTTCTGGGGGTCACGTGACCCACCCACGTCACGTGACACCCCTAGGTCACGTGACCCCCGATGTCACGTGAACCCCTGAGGTCATATAACCCCCTGAGGTCACGTGACCCCTTCAGGTCACGTGACCCCCGAGGTCACGTGACCCCCTTGAGGTCACGTGACCTCAAGCAGTCAGCTATCCCTCAGTGCGCTTCCATCTTGCTCCTCAAGAGCTGCGCTCTAACCGGCGTTACAGGGAATTGTAAACGGCTTTCATTTTTTAAACATTTTAGTAGCAGGCCTCTTTTGTAACTCGACCGCTTTTGAAACATTTTCCTAGCACTTACAGAAAGATTTATTTGTGGTGTTTTTAGTCTTAAAGTGTCAAAGCCAAAAAGACTTTTACCGAAGCTATATAAAAGGAATCTATTGTGCCTCCATATATCATACTAGTAGAATTTAGCACGCTCTTAATACTAGTCAACTTTTGTTTAACTTGTTTTTGTTTGCACAATAAAAACAAGTAATATTCCAGGGTTGCTCTTTATTCTAGTCCAGCCGCTCTGATAAGCATGAAAAACGTTTGGTCTGCGCCAGCCTGAAATTTGCTCCCAGTTTGAAATGTAAACTACATTGCGAGTTGTCTGACCAGTGACTAGGTAGTTAGTCGCAACTAGAAAAGCTATAGACCAAAACGCGGCTCTGACGTCACGCCTTTGCGGTGGCGCTGTTGTCGCTACGGCGCATGCGCAGAAGCTTCAGCTCACGCGAATCAGGTTTTTGCGCTCGTGCAGTGCCCATACTTGGTGTGGGCAAACGCGCTTCAAATTTTTAATATATGGCTTTATATCTTTGCTGATAAAACCCTGTACTTATAGCAGCACAAAAAGACAAGCCATTGCTAGATTGTAACTTCATCTGCTTGTTATATTTTCAGAGCTGTTGCGTTCAGCTTTGGTGTACATGGCGCGACAATGTTAGTATGAACAAGCAATCTGCATTTTTTTTTTTTTCTGTCTCAGAACAGGAGCGATTTTATTAAGGAGGTACTCCGGCGATTTTTTTAGCTACCCCAACTAACCATAACTTTGGAATCACCGACCTCTACTCCTTTCGGTATGCTGTGTATAGTATTGCGAAGTTCAGAATAGTTATTGTGAAAGCGGCAGGTGAAAAATGATGCCAAAGCCAACATTGAAATATATCCGCGCGTTTCAGTGCCGTGGCAAGAGCCGGATCGATTTCGGGGCTGGGCTAAAGTTGCTTCTGAGGCCCTCATGATAATGATGATGAAGATGATGGTGTTCACAACAACGATGATGATGATAACGCTGATTAACAGAGTGCATTTTGGAAAGCCCAATTTAAAATTTTTACAGTTGTACCTTTTTGAGTCACATTTATGAAAAATGTTATCACTGAAAAAAGAGAGAAATGTGAATGCTTCAAGAAAATTACTATTTATATTCGAACGGAACGCGGCAATATATTTACTGCCTCAGTCGACTCACTTTCCAGTAAGCGCTCTGGGTCAGAAGTGCCGAACTGAGCTAACCATACAACAACGACATTTCGATCCTACACCAGTGATTCTCGAATGGGGGTCCGCGGACCATTTGGGGTCCGCGAAGGAATCCTAGGGGTGCGCGAAGCCCTGCCTATTCAGTCAAACCCGGCAATAAAAGTGGCTTTTTTTTTTTTTTTTCGAATTGAGAAGAAATGTTCAAATTTTTGGGTGAGTTTTCTTGTGTGTTTGTCAGTGAGAATTAAGTCTACTTCACGCTAGCCTTTAGTTATATCCGCTTATTAAATCATTATCATAATGAACCTATATTTTTCCCTTACCTTCCCAACGAAGGGGATGCGCCATCATCTCCGCCGATCCACAAGGGGTCCGCGAAACATCAATGGCTGAGAACTGCTGGTCTACACTCGTATCACGGGCTCTTGTATTTTTTCCCGCCCACATTAAAGCACAAAACCTGTGAGTCTTAAAATGACTCGGACCGTTTTGAACTTTGAACAACTTGCGCACAAAACAAAACACACACGCTTTGGACCTTGCGGTGTCGTTTGAGTAGCCTCACGGTGACTGGCGGCCTTTCTTACAAAAATATAAGTGTCCTCTCTCTCAGAAGTAGGGCAGTTTTGCGATGAATTTTAAAAGTATCGCGATTCTTTCTTGGTGCACTGGGTTCGAAAGTTATCAGGTACGGATGCTGGCCACTTTGCCGGATCGCTTTCTGCGCCGATGGCTCCTACCTCGAGAGGTTGCGGAGACCATTCCAGGCAGTTGCGAGGATCCATGGAAGGAGATGCAAGTGCTTCTGAGACGCACACCACGAACCGAATGCCCTGTTAACACATTTAATATCCATGTGCTGTTTATAAATCTGCTAGTTGTATTGCGGCAATTAAGCTCAAATAATTTTCGCTCCCAATAATATATATTTTTTTATGCCAAGTATGATACTAAATGTGTTGAAGTTAAAAACAAAAAATCGACTGTAGCAGCCCTCGATGCATCAAATGGAAATAATAAAAAAAAAAACAGTAAATTTTCTTCGGGTTCTAGTTTCCTGTCAACGCTTACTTTTATCAACATGGTCCTACACACATTTTTAAGATTATGTCCATTTTCGACCGTTGTGAGTTGCAAGCTTTTTGCCTTGTGTGGCTGTCTTCAATAAAAACAAAAAAAAAAAAACAAAAAAAACAGCATTTTTTTTTTTTTTGCATTGACGCAGCGATTTGAAAATAATTACGATGTTTTATATTTAAACTTTTGGCGCGCAATTTTTCTTACAATAGTTTGCCACCAAGGGGAGAGGCGCAACAGCGCTTGCGCGTATGTTCTCCTGCAAGAACGACGGTCGCTTCCCGCAATGCTTGGATAAAAAATGGCGTACCATTTCGATTTACGCGATAACCAGCGACCTCGGCGCTTCCCCGTGCCCCGTTGTTCGGCAGCACCATGAGTTGCAGCGGGAATTTTACGACAGTGTGAAATGCGGGACATTTTGAAGATTTCGTTCCCTTTCTCTCATCCCCCTCCTGTTCCAGATCGAATTTTGCGATTTGTCGCCGAGCCGCCCGGCGGTTGAACAAACCAACGGCGCCTCGGAACTGTGGCGTGGGTGCGGCAGTCGTTTGTTTACACCGGCGGCACGCCGAACTTCTGTGAGAGAAGCAACCAACATGTCCGTCTTGGTCTCCGTTCCGGTGAAGGCGAACGTGCCGGGGACGAGCTCGTAATTCGGTCTCTGCGGAGGCTCTGGTCAGCACTATTAAAGAATACTGATTGCTTTCTAAACGCAGCACCCCGATTTGAAGGAGCGCCCGAAAAAGCGCTCGGCCCGGCAGCAAATCCGTGCCACTTCTTGACAGGTAGTTCGAGCGAGTGCGCCGACGCAGCAGTTGTGCTTCTTTGTACGGTTCCGAAGGACCCAGTTCAACGTAATGAGTCTTTTTCATATGGAAACGACGACGCATGTGTAGCTGTGACGACAACGGGAATGGGAAAGCTGCGCAACGCGAACCCGAGATGTGGTAGTGTGCACTGAATCGACGTCGGCTCCCGAGAGCTTCCGCGAAAAGCGACTCGCCGATCGGCCGCAGTGTGAACGTGGATGGTCGCTTGTCGCTAGTCGCCAGTGTGAACGCGCCTTTAGCGTCGGACGCCGCCGCCTTTGGATCCCGCACAGATCCCGCTGTGCAGTGAGTGCTCGACGCTCGACGGGGGACCGCAGCGAAAGCCAGCGTCCGCGTCGAAGTCTGCCATTTTTCGTGCGTTACAGCGGTCTCGCGACGGGGCGTTGTCTAAAACGTAAATGTTTTTATTTATTTCAGGGCTAAACGAAATCAAGACGCCTAGTTTTCCGGTAAAATATCCGATCTATGACGCACCAGCTGCACCCGGGTTCACGATTGGCAACAGCAAAGAGGTAAGCAACACGGTGCGAGTTCAGCGAGTGTTTGAAAGCAGGGTTTTTGTGCGATACAATAGGCTCGTTCGGTGTTCCTGCACCGGTCCTCTCGCTCCGGTGCAGAAAAAAGTGCAGTTCAGTGCAGTACAGATATGGCCGGAAGTATACCACCCTATGCACTTTTTCTGCAACAGTGCAGGAGGTGGGGGTAAATAGAACGAGCCTATTCATTTCAGTAGTTGCCTGACCGGCGGGTAGAGGGCGCTGACGCACTCGGCGCCATTAGGTTGCTTCAATTTGGTCGGTTTCGGTTTCAACGTACACGCGATCGCGATGCTGTTTCATGTCACTTTCGATTAATTTTGCGATATGAATTTCTATCTAGTAGCACACAGCGAATGAAACAATAGTATTGAGCCACTTGGCAAACCACGAAGAGCCTAAATTGCGATCTTTTTTTACTAACACTATATGCGTCTGATTCCGTCCATCATTAATTTCGGTCAGGTTCGGCGGTGAAACAACTGCGCTGATGCACAGGGAGGATTACCATTGTCCACGGCCGTACCCGCGGACACTAATTTCAAGAAGAAAAAAAAAATAAAGAGCAGGACAAGCTGCTCCTGCAGCGTGCGCTCGTTGCCTGCCGCCGTGCTTTGGCTGTACGTGCACCGAGCGGTACAAAAGGTAGATAGCTCGCGCTCAAGTCATATATTGAACTGATCATCTTATATTGCAACAGACTATATTGCATCAGTGCTTAGTGAAAAAGCAAGTCGACAACATGATTAACAATCTGCTAAATCACCAAGAACAGATGAACTGACAAGTTTACTGTTCGATGTTTGGTTATCGTACACCAACCTTTTCTAACTTCGAGACTGGAAACGTCTTTTATAATGACTAGAAAAGTTTAATATAATAACGTAGATAATATTAAAAAGTGATATTGTCTCGGCCTGTTTTATTTAAAAAAATTAAGCGCTCGAGAAATATTTTGATAGACCAGCCTAGGCTGACCAGAAAATTTCTTTAACTACTACTCGTTTACAGCATTTCAAAATATTGGTCTTATGAAATAAACGTTTTGTTATATGGACATTTACTTACGACGTTCTCAAGGTATGAGAATGGTAAGATAAGTGAATGCCAGACTTCAAATAAAGTCTGATATCCATCTTCCGTAAAATTTGCCGAATGAAATTGAAGAGCGCAAAAGAAATGATCTCCGATAAGCCAGGCGCCACCCAATGGACCTTTGTAGAAAGCTGTTCACTGATTCCAAACGATGCGCTTTGCACATTTTGACGTCGCCATCTACTGAAAGTAACTCCCTATTCGAAGTCGACAACCGGCTGCACTCCGGTGATTTTCATGCAGAAGGATTCTTTTTGGCGTCACATTTTATGAATCATAGGCACTATCAAGCTGTTTGTGACAGTTTCTTACGCGGGAGTTCAAATATTTGTGTTGAAATAAATAAATTGAAACTGCATGGTTATGTTAAAAAAATGACTTAAGCAACTGAAAGACTATGGACATGGGATCAAACACGATATACAATTCCGTGGAATTCATAAATAAACTGATAAAGCGAATGCTTATATCACACACGCGATTGAGACCGTAAAACAGATACAGGTGTGATATTGCGAACAAACAAGTTGCCTAATGTTAAGGTACCATTACTTCTAGCATAAAAATAATTCAAACTAAATGTTTGTTCCGGCGCCTTGTCCACTAGTTCCCTAGTGTAATCAAAAGAAACTGTTTTCGATCTGTTGGAACTACAAAACACCATGTTTTCAGGAAAAACACGTGGCTAATTACGCCGAGTGTTTTTGCTTTCTTTCTTGACACCAATGCGCACTCATATATATAATAACATTGGGCTTCCTATTGCAAATGTTCCGCCTTTATTAGTAACCAAACCTCAGTTCTCATAAGTTATTGGCATTTGAACCCTGGAGGCTCCCTTCAAGTCATTCAATGTGCGCAAGTGCTAACGCTGATTCCTGTTCCTATATAAAACCTTTTCACACGTATCCCGCACGCCGACGGTAAAACATATTCAAAACGTGTTACAAAATCAACTACAGACGTTGCACGCATAATGATGTAATGCAATTGCATGTTAAGTATAAGCATCGGAAGGCAACTTGCAAGAGATGCGGTGAAACGCGACGAAAAACACGAATTCAACGCATCCGCCAAGGCGCGGATGGGAGAGCGGAGCAACAAGTTGAAGCAACCTAATGGCGGCCGTATCACGTGATTCCAAGATGGCAGCGCCCATGCGGCGGAGGGTGAAAAGGTCTATACACCAAACGAGTGTTTCCAAAGAAGCCCGCTTCGCCCCTCACCAGGTGTGAGCAATGCGAGTGCGCTGACACCAAAAATTGGGATAGTGGAGCGCATGCGTATGCGCAGTACCGATAGCAGCGCCACCGCAGGGGTGTGACGTCAGTGAGTTGAGTTGGTCTATAAAAAGGGTGGCCAAGCTGCGGCTCGCGGCTCCCTCCCCCTCCCCTGCCCCCCCCCCCCCTCCACTTCCCCACCCTCTCCCAGTCACATGAGCACTTCCCCAAAAAGGGATATGGAACTTGCTTTAAATCGAAAGACAGGTGGCGGTGTGGTTGTCTTGTGTTACAACTACCTTGTACAGTGTAACTGCTGTTGAGTCGGATAGATTGAAAGTAGCTCGAGTTTCGTTTTATTGCTCAGGACAAACATTTGCCCCAACCCCCCCCCCCCCCCCCCCCCTCCCCTCGCGGCTCTTTGAAGTTTCGTGGTTTTGTTTGCGGCTCTTAGGCCGGGTCTAGTATATATTTGTGGAGAACGCCGGACGGTGGCGAATCTAGAGTTGTTATTATCGGCCCCGCAGCGAGTGAGACGGCGATATTTGAAGATAACAACTCCGAAGAACGAATCACGAAGCAACAACAACAGTCGGGCAACATGTTGCTGCCGTCCATCAGCCGTGTTGGCCGATTTGTTGTTTGACAACCCATACTGTCACACCGTGCTGACGGCGAAGACAACACGGGGAACACTCCGCCATCCGTTTACCTTCGTTCGTGTGCGGCGCGGAATCGCTGGAAATGTGACTCTACAAAGTGCTAGTGCGTTTGAAGGGCCGGAAATTACCACGGTACGACATCCCCAGTGACTGTGATTAGAAAACTCACGGGGAGTATTTTCCGCTCTTTATTTTATCGAAATGTTCTTCATTCGCTGACAAAGCTGATAGCCCTAACCGAGGAAAGTGACATCGCTGATATGTGTTCGGGATTTATGCCACCGTATGAAGTGTTTCTGTCCGGTTCTTTCATGCAATTCCTATTTCTACTGTAAAATTGCGTTAGCACCGGCAGTGCCCCAAAGCGTCTTTTGTAACGTGGTGTTGAGCTGAACTGACAGTGCTTCAAAACTGTGACACCGACACCATCGGCCTTCATAACAATCGGTGGAATAAATATTTTTCAACGCTGTCTACTTGCCTACCGCCTGCTATGTCATCGCTTCATTCACCCAAAACGTTCTGGGTATTTTTAGAACAAATCAGGTGTCTGGTAGCGGCTATTTCCAAGTTCCAAGCATCAACAATCATGATCAGAGTGGTCGTTTTATGCTTCGATTTTTTAATCTTTGGTTTTTTTTATTATTTTTATTATACTTTATTAGCGGGTGGGTAGGCATGCCATTTTATATCACTATCAGTAATGTGAGCTGGTCTCTCGGGAGTTCTAATTTCAAAACCAGTCTGAACTTTCAGGACCATTTCGAAAATCGCTTTCCGTAACTACGCAGCAAAAGCATCAACCGAAAATATTTTAGCCGCACGCCAGCCCTAATTATTGTTAAATAACGTTTTCCGAGCCTTTGTTTGAGTAAGATTTTATTGATAGGGGACTAGCTCTACCATCGAAGCTATCTATATGTTGTCGTGTTGCCGGCCCGAAATTCGCTCGGCCAGCGATCAGAGCAACACAGGTTGTCCAACACAAGTTTCTGCTGTTTTTGTTGCCGTAAGCTGTCATACCGAGGCAACATGTTAGTTGTCGTCCATGTTGTCGTGCTGTTGCCGCGATGTGACAGGTTTGTCGGACAACACGGGGAGCGAGCAACAAGTTGCCCGACTGTTGGACAACGTGTTGTGTTGCTGTTGCCGTCGTGTTGCCTCAGTGTGCCAGGGCCTTTATTACGGATTGCCGAACGCTCATTTTTCGCCCAAATGTAGCGTTATATTTTTGCCCGAACCAGTTGCCAAATTTTCAGAATTAGCCTTAATCTCGTGCAAAAACTATAAGTAATGTTTTTCTTATTTTTTTAAATTTTTAATGGAAAAATGGCGACTCTGTGGAACACATGGAGCTGAATGGCGCCAGTTACGGGTGAAAATGGGCCCCCATTTTTCCCATCGGAAGTTTTCAGAAAATCACTCATAACTTTTTGACTGGGATAACGGCTAATTCTCAAACTTTGGCATCTGGTTAGGACAGCCAGCACTACATTTTGGCGGAGAATGAGCGCTCGGCGATGAATAATTTATTTTTGTAATATAAACAACAAAAAAAAAAACTATTTTTTTTTTTTTTTTTGGTGAGGGGGGTGGCAGGGGATTACGCTTACTTTTCTGAAAATAACTTGGGGAGACGCTGCGACCTACGAATTAAGTCAGACGAATATAACCATGGAAAACTTATAGTCCGCGTTCAGCTTTACAAAAGATACAGCCTGCGCCATATGGCACTGTGCATGATAACGCTATGCTCGGTGCCACAGCTCAGAATGTATTCGATGGGATTAAACGTATTTTAGGTCTCGTCATTTTCCAAGCCTGCTCCGTGTACATTACACCGCTCTGCCGAGAGCTTTGTGAGAAAGTAAACTCTCCAGATTTCCTTGAGTGTACTGTACATATAGTCACCCCCTGCAGCCCCTGCAGCCAATCGGATTGCGGCCGACAAGAACGCCAACGGACGATTCATACGGAAGCGTGAACGTAATGAGCCATGCCCTGCGTTCCCTAAGCTGTCACGTGATTATATAGTACACTCTAAAAAAAATAGATGAGTTCTCTTCTCTCCAGAACTCAAGGAAACGAATCGCGGTGAGCAATACGGAGCGCACGTTCGTCTGCTTCTTGCACAGGGGTTACGATTATGTCAGAACGCAATGGTTGAAAAAAAAAAAAAAATAGTGGGTAGATCTCAAGGCATTTAGCATTGAGGTCTACCCACAATCCTTCCAATCAAAGACAATCAGAACTGGGCGTCGTACTGACGTCATCGTAACCCCTGTGCAAGAAGCAGAAGACTCGCTCTCCGCACAAAAGGATGCCAGTAAATAACGAACCTCAGATTCGAGCAGTGCAGAAGAGTCAAAGGCTTTGCAACCAGAACTCGGCGTTTTGACGTTTCCAAGCGCTCTCGTCTCCTTCTCTCCCTCAGTTTCAACCCGCATAGTGGTGACACGGACGAACGCCGAAGACAGTAGCGTGGAGACATATATACCAAACGGCCGCCCCGCCTCTCGTAACCGTTCCAGTGACCGCAGCCTCTGATTTGGTTCTGTACAGATCTTCCAGCGATGTGGGGCCCTCATCCGCAAGATCGAGGTGACCCTCGACAAGGGCAAGCAGGCGGAGCAGAACCTCACCGCCCTGAGGAACATCGTCCACGCCGAACTGGTCAAGGAGACCAGGGAAAGGGAGAAGACGGGGCTCACGTTGCGGCTCAACGAGATCGAGAAACTCTTGACCGAACTTCATGATCGGTACACACTCTCTCTGCCACCTCGAGTAACGTTCGATGCACCATTTGAAGAAGTCACGAAGTCAGACGAGCTTCTTATAGGCCCTTGCATCGCACATCACCCCGGGCAAAAAAAAAATGCTGAGTCACCATTTTGTGGATGCATGAGCAGCGTCCGATATACCGCACAGCAGAGCAGCAGCGCATGCTCAGAAGGCGTTCCACAGCCCAGCAGACAAAGATGGCAGCGCGCAGATGGCGATTTCTGCAAAGGTCTATACTCCGCCTTGAAAGTACAAAGATCGCAACGACACTGACTGGGTAAAACAGCGGTCACTATCACACAAAGGACAGTCTGTAAACACTGTATGCCAGCGCGGTTGCATATATCTGTCTTCTTTTAGTGGGTCCTTGTCGTTGTGCTGTTTGTACTTCTCATCTAAGTTCGAGTAAAGTGGACGATATATGATCCGATAAAGTCAATCAAGCTGCGCCAAAAAGTGCATTCGTTGTCTCGTCAATGAGCAGACGACAGAATGCGCCACCTGGTTGCTGCGCTTATATCTCGACAGATGGCGCCACGCGTTACAACCGTCGCTACCTTGGTCGTCTGCGAACCCTCCGCCGTTGACCCTGGCAAGTTTGTCGGCCTCATTTTGCGCAGAGAAGGAGCTATGCCTTTAATATTTCATCAGCTAAAATGCACCAGATCGATGCACGTTCGGCGAAAGTTAGATTTCTAAAAAGACGTCAGTTTTTGTTTGTTTTACAGAGTAAGATTCATTTGTGTAGCCATCCTGTAGTACAATCATGTTTTACGTTTTCAGGAACACCAACGGCGAAGTTCGCTTCCGCACCTTCATGCGCCAGATGTCCGCGGGCGCGATCAGGTCGCCGTCGTACGCGCACAGCGTCTTGGAGAACCTTCACAGGACGTACACGCTCGAGGTGGACGCACACCTGACCGCAGTGCGGAACGTGCTCGGGGACGCCGTAACCTTCCTCAAGAGCGCCGTGCGCAACTCGGGCATGCTCCTCGGAGAGCTCGCCCGAATCAAGCTCCACTTTCTCACCGGACTGTTTCGTCCACCGCGCAGGCCTTCTGACTTACATTTCCTCGGATAGTCGGCCATAGCCACTCGCAGGTCGCCCTGCTCATACATCATACAAAAGATGTGGAGTTCCTCTGCAGACATGATAACAGAAGTATCTGCAGACCAGGGTGTAAGATAGACAGGTGGGGAAACGAGAGCCAAATGAGCGACCGGATTGTGTCCCCCTCGCGTTTCTCTTTTTCTGTGGCGCCATCTATGTGGAGCACCGCGAACTCTTACTCAGGGTAGGCGACCGGTGGCGACCTGCTAAACTGACGGAGATGGTTTCTCGTAGATTTTCAATGGAGGACTGTCGTGCTCTCGGTTTATTTTGCGCACTCTCCCATAGAGTTCCACGCAAATCCGATTCCGACTTTTTTTCTTCTCGCCGCAGCCCCATCTGTCGCAAATCGGGGGTACCCGCAAGCAGACGTGTTCACAATCCGGTCACGGCGCTGCGGTAGGCTTCTATGGGCCGTTTCCCCACCTGTCTATCTTACACCCTGCTGCAGACACGCTTGAAGCATATTCGAAACATAATATAAGACCGCTGCAGAAAGAAGAGGCACGTCTCAGACAGAGATTGTTTTAAAACTCGAAATGCTTTTTCGCTAAATTTAGCGGGAAAATAGACGTCACGTGATGTCACCTGACGTCGCGTGACCTATACACTTCTTAGGGAAACTGGTGGCACGTGACGCGCACGTTAACTCAATTTCCCTGCTAAATTTAGCGGGAAAATTCGCGTCTTGTGACACCGATCCAGTTTCCCCGCTAAATTTAGCGGGGGGAAATCGACGTCACGTGACCTGACGTCGGGTGGCTTACACAACCACTCAGTTTCCCCGCTAGCGGGAAAATGAATGTCACGTGACACACCAATTTTCGCTCACCGATTCCTTATAAAGCATGAAATGCATTATGGACTACCTTTCGAAATGCTGCCCTCTGTTGACAGCTGGGGAATCCCTGCACAGTGGCGGAACAAAACCTCAACGTCACGGCACATGACCCCCCCCCCCCCCCCCCCCCCCCCCCCCCAGAAAGAGGTGATGAGCGCAGTGACGTTTCACAATTTCTACGCGGTTTGATTGGCTCGTCGGCTCGTAGTGTTGGCAGCGCTCCAACGTTGACCATCTAATTAAATGACTTGCACGCTCCTCGATGCAGTTGTTCCGCCATTGTGCAGCGGTTCCGGACTTTTCAAAATCGGCACGTGAATTTTGAAAGGTGTCTATAGGACTTTAAAAATAAAAATCGGCAGCATTTTTTTTTTTTTTGTGATGCATTTAGCGGTGTGATTCCGGCTTTGTGAAACGCGGCACGTGGTAAGTCAGGACCTGACATATATACTATCCCTCCTGAGCCCCAATCAGGTTGCGACATGAGCCGATAAGGACGTCCAAGAACGACTGGCGAAGCCAGTATAACTAGACACAATCACCCGCCCTGCATTTATTTAAGTTGTCAAAGCACATAAAAAAAAATTAAATCGCGTTCCCATGTTTTCTTGAGGAATGTGGAAGTGTGCCGCGATTGGGGCTGGCAAGAGGGATGTTTCCTAGTTGGAAATATGTTGACACAGTTTCGTCTTGGGTTTTTAGCGCCGCTCACAACTGTAACAGAAACATAATGACAACACGTAGGGCGCGTTTGCTTTAGTTATGTATTAATGTGATTTTCTTACATTTATCCGCATGATTATCATGCGTAGCCGTTAACTGAAATAAAGGAACTGATTAATGCCTCAAGGGACGACGCTGGTGTGTTTTTAATTGGAAAAGCTGCTCGTGTCGTGCTTTGTTTTTTTTTTTTTAATTTTTATTCTTTTACGTACACCTTGAAGTGACAAAATTACAAATTCCTTAAAACATTTCAACTAGGTTACGGTTACAATTACAAACATTTTATTGTAACTCGGTAAGCATATGGATACTAGAAATGTAACTAATTTAGCTACTGTCACGATCAATATGAGTTCGAACACCGCTCCGCGTGGCCCGCGGTACGTATATCAGTGCCCCCTGGCGATTGCTCTTTGAAGTATAAGTGCCCTTTGCGTTCGAGGCATATCGTGCCTAGCGATCGCCGCGCTACTCTTCTCTTCGGCGAAGTCGCGAAACTATTCATCAATTACGAAGTGCATTTTTTTCGCTAGCAACGTGCACCAGCAGAAATAACTTCGATAAATATTTTTAGGGTCATCTATTTGATTAGTATGTTTTCGTGGATTATTCCCATTACTCCGATAACAATACCCGATACTTCGCCGATGCCTTTAAGCATGGATACTATTTTTATCGGAGGCATCAAAACAATGAACTAAGACTGCCTATTATTTCATCCGCGTGAGTTTTGCGAGAGCGGAGGACCACCAATGCGCAGAGGCAATATGTTAGCGCGGTGCGAGCGTGGGTGATACTCTTCAGCATGGTAAACAGCGCAGAAAAACGACGATGACGTAAAAGAAACGCACGGAACGTCCCCGTCGTTTGTTTTTTTTTGTTTTTTTTTCTTTCGCGCTGTTTTCCATGAGGAAGTATCACCCACTCTTGCACCGCACTATCGGAGCTCCTGCGACCCACTGTCTTACCTTCGGCGACTGCCAGACAATCGACGTCCTTCTAGGGTCGCAGCCTTCTTGGGTCCATCTTCGTCACTCCAACGGTGACGAGTCCCAGTCATTCGTCATCTTCACCTGCAAAGCTCTCGGCGTTCCTTATGATGTAGACAGCTTTCCCCTCCGAAGGGCGGTGGCGGAATCCTTGCCGACTGCGTCTCTGGTGCCGTTGAGAGAGGCTAAAGTTCTTTGTTGGGTTGCCGCGATGTGATGATGGCAACCCCGATTCCGCCTTGGTCAAAGGAGATGTAGTGGCAGAGGGACACCCAGGTGAAGGTTCCGAACAGATATATATGATTTATTTACATATATAGTTACGACCTGGTTTACAGATCTTAGGAGCTACGCGAGACCTCTTGGAGTCCTGGTGGCGTCTTGCCCCCTCCGATGCTCAGCGTAGACTGACCTTCTCTTTCCCGCGCGCTCTCAAAATTCCAGGAATCGTCCCCACTTTCCCAAGCGTCTGGTCAGCATCGATCGCTTGTCACCTCGCTGGGTCGCTCCGCACCCCCGTCGTGTCGTTCCGACCCGGCGGTGCTTCTCGCCGACTCCCCACATTTGCAACCCCGTTGCTCGAGATTCGGGTTACTTCGGAATTCGTTAACTGCCGTCGCGTCCGGGACTTGTAAACATTGCGGGCCCTCTGTTTTCTTTTGAGCCCGTCATAAAGAAAAAAACAAACAATAATATATATACAGAACAGAGTTTCCCGGAAAGTCCTGGGACCGAACACCATATCTCAGGTGAAGTTGCTCGATGGTGCAGTCGAATCGCAGAAACTCCCGGCCAACTAAAGTTCTGTACTGGCCCTTGATGATGAGCTCCTGCACGGCAGACGGCTCGTGTGGGCAGTCTGCTTTCCTCTTCCTTCTCAAAATCTGGCGCAAGGTTTCATTGCTAGGAAGGTGCTACCCTGAAGACGCTGCTACATCTGCCGTGACCTGCTGCACAATCCTCAGGGGTGCCTCGCCCGAGGCCGCCACCAGAGCTTTGATCCGTTCTTGAGTACGATCGAATAACTGACTCTGCAGATATCCGGATCATGGCTTGCGTGGGTCACTGTCTTCGAAATGATCTTGGGAGTACCTTCTACAGGAAGCACTCTAGCGTTACATTCGCCTCGCTCCTCGCACCTTCAATGGTGTCAAGAGTCTACTTTTTTGAAAAGCACGTAAGCATAACCGTCTTTGCAGCTAATTTTGCTTTTTCCTTCTGGGAGCACACCACAACCCCGTCTTCGTCCATATTCCTCCGAATCAATGAAATGATTACAGCCACACATTGCTGCTGCTCTAGTACTATAAACACTTGGCAGCGCTTCTTTTTTTTTTTTTTTCTTTTCTGCTGACCAATAAGAAAATTGATATGTTTAGCTTTAGGATAGGTAGAAAAATACGAAATTTTACATCAAATTAATCTACTGATACTGGTGCTTTTGCAGAACGAGATAAACAGGCTCGCGTCTTGCAAAAAAACGAGCAAGCCTTTAGATCTCTCTCACAACCTCATTCCTGTTATAGTTTCGCAGTGCTCAGCTTTTTTTATTACAGCTACATTTCTGTTTCCCTTACCAGTCACACATTTTGCCTGTTCATTGAGGTATTCCATATCCTCGTTAATCCATACTCCTAGATACTTGAATTTATCGATCCGCTGAACCTCTAATCTTTGAATTATTTGCTCTGCAATTCTGTCATCATTGAACACTATGACCGCTGATTTGTCACCTTCGTGTGAAAGGTGAAACACAAGGTCGCTTTTTTTTAACTTTTCCTGTAATCTTCGGAGATTCCACATGAACAACAATGAAGACGAAGGGCATCCCTGTCTAAGACCTCCTTTTATCTCTACGGGCTTTGTTCTTTTTCTTTGCCATGTTATTAGTACCATGTTGTCTCGGTAAATAACCTGTAAAAATGTCAATATTCCGTCGTCCACTTCTAAGCTCCTCACTATGTGCCACAAATTGCCTTGAATGACATTGTCATAAGCCCCCTTTATGCCTAAGAATTCTAAGCAAAGTGGTCTGCTTTCCTTTTCTGCTACTTTGATACACTGTGTTAAATAAAATAAATTGTCCTAAAACCTTCTTTATTTTTGGAACCCATTTCGTAGCTCTCCTAGTTCATCCTCATTTTCTACCCATTCCTGTAATATCTCCTGGATAATCTGCATTGCCGACCTGTAGACTGCTGACGTTACGGTTATGGGTTAATAGTTACCATATGTCAGCTTTGCCCTTTTTTCTTTGTATATTGAACTCATTCTGCATAGCCTCCATTGTCCTGAGGCAGTTTCCTTCATAATAATGATATTTACTGTTTTCCTCAACGGTTCCATAACTTCGGGTGCTAACTGTTTAATCAACTTTATTGGAATACCATCTGCACCTGTTGATGAACCCATTGGCACACTCCGTTCTTCTCTTTCCCATTTTTTTTTTCGATAGCCTCAACATTAG